TGTACCTAGAAGGACATACCGTCTCCGCTCAGAATCGTTTTTCTTATACAATGATATAATATCATTGAATTCAAATGTAATACCATCCATTATACAGTGACCCACTTGTAACCTACTGTACAGCAGAGCGACACCCACTTGCCCACCTTTTTTTTATTTAATTTACGAATCATTAGGCCATTACAAAAATTCTAAGTGTACTAAAATCGAAAATTGTTCACCGTAAAATGTGTAAAATAGATAATACAGACACATCATAATATTTTTATTGTGAAACCGCTATCCAATTAATTGCTCCACTCAGAATATAAAATACTTCGTCTTTATAGTTATAAAACGAATATCTACAATATTGTACAATACAAATTGAAATTCGAATCTTCATTAAAATATTATAATATAATATTATACCTATAGGTATAGCTGGTATATAAATAATAATTATAGTCTTAGGAAAAAAAATGGTCCCAAAATCCTGATGCTGGCCGATTGGAATAATAATAATTAATATGATGAACGCTGTGAACTCTCTGTCTAGCTAGTAATAATCGACTTAAATACTTGTCATTTTGGAGATATTTTAATTTATCAACTACGGCTAGGATAAAATCCGAAAAAAGTTGATTCAGACTCCAAACGCCAAACTTGTAGTTCCATGTACTACAAGGTATAAAAACAATGGCTGCCTTAAATTAATTAGACAAAATCGAGTCTATCGTAAAAAGAGTCATCGAATTGCTTGCAATCGATTTAATACCGATCACACTTTATTTTTACAATCATCGGCAAACTTCCCACGTATAATAATATCATCAGAATACACTTGAATATTCTCTTGCCCAATTAAAATATTTTCCATTATAGGCACAGATTGAATTAATGTAGGTACCTACTAGGAGCTGAAGCGAATAGGTACCATATAGCAGTCTATTAAATTGCTAGGTATAATCCATTAATTATAAAAATTTACAATCAACAATAATAATTGATGACTCGAAGATGCTACCTTAAGTTGTAAATATCGCGATAAATAAATTCCCGTAGAAAATTTCTTTCCTGTTAAATTATTAATTACATCGTCTATCCTCGGTAACGGTCGCTAATCTACTTTTCGTAAGGATTTAGTATACCTATTTTTAAAATTAACACAAATTTGTTTTTTATTTTTTTTTTGGTACCTACTAAAACTATCGATGACGCCCATACAATATGAGATATTACCCCTTCTTTTTATAATCTCATCAGTTCTTCTCCCATACCGTGGGTTCTAATAATATGCCATAATATTATAGGCATAATCTTTATATGCCGTCCTTTGAAATGTCGGTACACTATTTTCTTTTATTTCCAAATGTACTTCATAGTTCATGGTCTTTTATAGTTTTGTACATTCTTCCTCATAATTCACCAACCTTGTTACTACACCCGGAAACTTAAACTTAATTACACCAACTATGTCCGTGTCCATTACTTGATTTTTATTGATGTTTATTAAACCCTCTATTTTATTATAATTTATTTCATCACATTCTAATTTTATTTTATGCCAATTAAAAATATATTTCCATTTGGAAACAATGCATTTAACCACGATCATTGTCATCCCAATTGTTTATCTGCGCTGCTTTTTCATATTGTATAATAAATGTTTTAATTTCCTCTTGCCTGGAAAAACTATCTTGTTTTCTTAACATTTTTTCCATTTTAGTTTTTGAATATTTATTTGTTATACGTAATTTCTCGGGTGTGTTATTGTCAATTACAAATTTTGAATTACTAAAGAATGTAGTACTGTACTACTGTAGTATAGGTATTAAAGTCTGACTCTGTTTCAATTTGACTATTGATATCTTAATATATAATATGTTCTATTTGGGGTTGTTTCGTTAGGTCCTATATAGGTTTATTAAATTACTATAATATTGTTATCAGTGGGTTGCTCTAAAGTATAAATTATTTTGAAAAAATTATTACTAGTGTTTAAAATTTTATCTGCCTGAGTAATTAATTTATTAATATTATTGCCTAAATCACTAGTTATTTTTATAAGGGCTTCATCTTTCAAATCAAAATACGATGTAGTTTAGTCAATCTATAAGGTGGTTTAAATTTATTTTTATTAAAGGAGGTTGATTTGTAATTACTAACTAATATATTTATGCTTAACACTAACTATGTACCTACTTCAGTTTTGAATAATTAAAAAAGATTATATGTTTGAACATATAGGTACAATATTGTGTATGAATATAAAAAAATTATTACAAGAGTTATGTACACTTAAAGATCGATATAGCTGATTTTGATGCTAACTTCATCATATGGCTAGTTTTGAAGCCAAAATTTTTTTGATTTTTATGTACATGGCTGGTTTTGAAATTGACTTTGCGATATAGGTGATTTTGAAACTAACATTGAAAAATGTTATAAAATCAAAATATTAACACACTATTTATGTCTTACTTTAGTCAAACTTTATTTGATTTTAATTCATTAACAACAACTAATGACACAACTATTTAATATTCTGTCATAAATTAAACAATATTAAAAAATATTGAATTATAATTTAATTATAAAAAAACCCGTGTTTGATTATGGCTGATTTTGAAATAATTAATAAACATCACCAAATGCGTGATTTTGATACCAAGTACAATTTTCCATGGTAAGTTTAGACCAGTTATAGCCTTATTTGATGTTCAATAATCAATAGGTATTCAGTTTAATAAAACCGCACTGACACATAGTACGAATATCCCGGCACTGTTCTTACTTCTTATAGGCTATAGGTAAAAAGTAAGAACCTAAAAACAACTGAAATAATATTCAACTCGTGTTCTCAGGTCAGAAACACTTTTATTAAAATGTAAAACTAATATAAATAAATCACTAATTTGGAACGACTACGAATGTCACTTCGCACGTACAATCGTCTTACCTACATTCTCGCCGAATCATTCAGCGACAAAGCGACTGGCCCAGTAAAATATTATTGTCACCTCATCACATCTTGCTTCATTGGCCTGACCTATGTCAATAATTTACAGCCGAAAATATTCCCACCCATCCTATTTTTTTTTTATACATATAATATCATATTGACGACTATCTACAATATACGATAATACCCAATTAGCAATTTCGGATAGTTAACTTGTTCCGATTAATTGCAATCATAATTTATTGTAATACCTACACGTGTCATAGCGATATATTTATAATGTAAAAATAATTAATAAAGCAACAACTACCAAATTTGATAGATTTTGTATAGATATAAGATTGTGTTTACCTATGACTTTTGTGTTATTCACATATACATTTATATACCAATATATTTTTTTTTAATGTGATTCGTATTAAAAGTGAATAGTATAAAAAATAAGAAATAAAGAACTGTAATTTTATTAAATATACTTTGAGAAAGTATTTAAAATACTACATTCAAGCACATTTATCATTTTATTTGTAAATTTTAAAAGATCATTAAATTATTACACATAAAAAAAAGGTTTATTTGTGTAAGACTGTTACATTCTAAACATAAACATTTGATTAGATTTATTTATTAAGGAGTTTTCTTCCAACTATCATTTGTAGGTACTTAAATTGTTGATGAAAAAAAATGTTCTGATATTTTAATATAACATTTAGATTTTAGGGTTTAAAAAAAAAAGTCAATACTTCATAGTTGTGATTTGATATGTTAAAGAAACACATGCATCTTTTTTTTTTTTTTTTAAAGACTAGATTATAAGAGGTAGAGTTTATGACTTAAACCCTAAATGCTATATTAAAATATCACAGAACATTTTTTTTTTCATCGACAATTTAAGTACCTACAATTGTGTTAACTTAATATGTTATAGACTATATTATAGTTGTGTTGATAATAATATATATGACTTAGATAATTAATATTGTTGATATTGAAATATAAATACTGGTAATTTCAAATATACATTATTTATTTAAATACTATTACAAAGATGTACACATAAATTTATTTTTTTTATTTTTAATTTACAACTTATACAATCTATACGAAAAAAAAAGTACAATAAGCATAATGTATGTTTATTTAAATTATACTTAGTGTAAAGACTTGAGGGTCTTGAGGGAAGAAACCATCCAGTGAAGGTACTTCAGCATGAACTTACATTATTTGGGTATTAACACTTTCGCTGAGTAAAACGCCAATTGGCATCATTGCACATAGTTTGCATATGCTGAATGATGCCAAATGGCATCATGTACATAGTTATTTAATGGACTATAATTTAGTCGGTGTTACGATTAAACTTTTGGTTTTTTGAAAACGTCTTCTATAAGTATTGTTTCATAATCAAGTGCGAACCGTACACTGATATTTTAATTTTTCAATTTTTAGGAAATTTTTTTTTAAAACTAGAATTTTATCAGCGTCACGACAAGTATACAAAAATATGATAAGCAGTGAACGTGTTAAGTACCTATTCATATTATGTTTACTTTATAAGGTCACAGGGTCATGGTCGTTTGAGTCTTCTGAGAGGATTTCTTGGGATTGGAAATAGATAGTAGCTTTTTCATGTGGGTTGGTGTGATTTTGAAGGCGACTCCTAAATTTCTTGTCATACAGCTTGGCTGTATCAGTGACTTTAGGAACGTGAATATCTGTATGGAATGTGTGGTTTAAATATATGGTGGAGCATTGGTTGTGAGGATTTTTGAATGGAAAACTAGTATTTTTCGTGTATTTGATATTTTTGCTATGCCCCAGACTTGTACTCATAAATTAAAATAATAATAGTGTACAACTAATCAACATAAATTAACAAAACAAAAAAAAACACCTTATGGTAAAGGTATATATTATATTAATATTACCATCAGCCATACTTAAATACTTTTAGGAACAAAACATTTGAATTAAATATTAATACGGTGGTACAAGTGGTTAATACAATGTTAATAAACATTAGCATAGAGAAATATAAACTAGATATAACTATTTATTAGTTAGGACTTGTAGATGATGATGGAATTGCTATGGTATATGGACATGTTGTAGCTAGCATTGTCTGAGGTAATCCTAACATTTCATTAGTTTCTTTTAATTTTCTTTGGTCCCTAATTTTTAACATTTCTTCTTTAAGTTTATTTAATATAGCAAAATTTGGTTGATTCACAGCAGCTTTACTCTGGAGCTGAGTGATTTCTTGCTCTTCTTGTTTTTTTTCTTTAGCATTCTTAATGCTCCGGTTACCGTAAAGCCGTAACAACGAACCCCAATTATCAATATGTGGATGTAATAAACCAAGTATTACTTGAGAAGCTTTTTGTTTGCCATCCCTTTTATTTTTACAAGCAACGGATGCTGTGTGTTTTCCAACCATCATTGTACATTGGTTTAACATCCTACGACGATTGTTCAATTTATATTCAATACCTATTTCACATTCACCAAAATTTCTTTGCAAACACACTAATAACATAGCATATGGACTAGGTTCTGTGGTTTTAGCACAGAATTCCGTAATTCTGGGGTCGGTGACTTTAATTTGGTCAAATATTACAGGATCACGTTGGTTTTTGATATCTGAATCTATTTTATTTTTCATTTCAGGTATGAGTATATCTAAAGTGGCTTGGGCAGCATTTAATTTGGCTTGCTTCTTACTATTACCCAAACCAACACCATATTGAACATCATTAAGCACAACAGTTGCAGAATAAGGTGTTTCAGTATTTTCAAGTTCTTTAAACTCATACCAAGGTTGGGTTTTCAATGCTTGTTGTAAATATTCATGTAATATGCTCACATAACTTTTACCATTTGGATTCATTATCCATTCTCGACGACGATTACACCGTTTATCGTGGTCCTCGGTTTGAACTGGAAATGATATCAATTTAGTACTATCTGGAAGCGAAGGTCTTTCTTTGGTATTTTTTAGTGTGCCTCTAGAAATTTCAGTTTTTATACTTGGTTCTTTCGGCATTTTACTTAGAGATTTCACTTCTTTAACCTTGAACCTGAAAAAAGGTATAATTGAAATTCATTAAATAAAAATAAAATTATTACCTAAATTGGATCAATATTGTATGTTTAATAAAATAAGTAACAAGTATTCATTTACTTAAATAGTGATTGACAATATTCCCGCAACTCCACGTGTGTTAAAGATTCTTTAATAATATTTTCTTGTGCAGTCTCCACTTTGGCATTTGGTATAATCATATCACCAAGTTTACTAACCTGAAAATCAGGTTCATTTTTTATAATTTCTTTATTCTCAAGACCTTTTTGATATTGTAAACAACTAATTGCTGATAATGGGGCTAAATGTGATTTAGGATCACCTGGTCCCAAAAAATAAGGTCTTGATAATGTTACAACTCTACTTTTCTTGTGTAAATAAATAGGCATGCCACTTTTATGGGTTGCCTCAATCCAATTTTCAGGTAAAATATCAAAATGATTTTTACACACTTCCTCTAACACAATTTTTTCATATTCTTTAAAGTCATCTTGAGTAACAACTTTCTTTTTATGTTCACTGTGGGTCTTATTTTTGTCTTTATATGCTTTGTCTAGTAAATCATATAATTCATCATTGTCTATACCTATGGATTTATAGGTTTTAGTCATTCTTTCTTCATCGTTATTATAATCATTGGCACCACCACCATCTTTGACAGATTCTCCATCAGATTTTTCAATACCACAAGTCTTAGAATTTGTTTCGTTTATTACATACTTTTCTAATTCAAATTCACCATCTGAAATTGGTACATAATCTTCACTTTCACTATCTTCATATTTATTAACATTATAATCATCATCATCATCATCATCATCATCATCATCATCATCAGATACTCCTGAAGATACTGTCTGATGATTGTTCAAATTTAAACTTTTCTGGTCAAAATAATTATCCAATTCAATTTCATCATAGTTTTGACTACCTTCATCAATTGAAATATCTCTATCAAATGATTGTTCATTTATATCCGATATTTTAGTTTTTTTTCTGGGAAAACGATCTTCACTCTCATCAGAATCGGTATCAACTTGAATTTCTGAAGGAAGCATGTTTAAAATTTTAATCTGAAACAAAAATAAACAAAATCCATTTAACTATTTTTTAAACATTAACATTTTTTTATAATACAATGGTATAATATGCCTCCACACAAAACTATTATCTTTTTGAAGAAATAAACAACAATACAATACAATACAATAATATCCTCTAAAATAAGGAGAAATTTTAATTTTGTGGATATCTGAATATATTACCTATTAGCTATTAATATATAAAAAGACCAAAACTAGCCCATACACAGCCCGACAATGACAAGAGTATACTCTGTTCCATCTAAGAGTGAACCACTCGGCTGACCAAAACATGTTTTTTCCGCGCATTCCCACCACAATCCGGATATCCGTGGGAGTCTTGACACGGGCGCCCGACGTCCGACGATCACTGTCCGCCAATCACAGAAAGCATAGCCATCACATGAGGGGTCGGCACTGTTCGGCGGCTCAGTCTGCGTGCGCGAAAGCGGTTCACTCTTAGATGGAACAAAGTATAGGAGGAAATGCCCACTCTGCCTCTCCCATGGCAAGGAAGAAATAGGTACCAGTTATAACATGATTGCTTATTATATTTCATTGATCTACCTAGTTTAAAATATAAGAAATATTTAAAAAACTTTTGTTGCATTATTTGTTGTTATAAATGGTAATACTCATACACAGAGTACAGTATTCTTTAAATTATTTTTGTTAATTCGCTAATATTACATAAAAAACATTTATCTTTTAGTTATAAAATAATTTTTTTAAACAAATTGTATTTATAAGTGAGGAATATCCAGGGAGCACATGTCATTTTTTTTTATACCTATATCATTAAAATTTTGTTGAGATTTGAATAAGTAGGTAGGTTTAAGGTTGTATAATAATCATATACAATATGGAAAAAATGAAAAATTATAAAAATAAATTTATGATTATAATAAATTATAATTTGTAATATACACTGGGACTAGGTATAATATAATTTTATATTATTGAGTATAAATAATCACCATACTATATTAATTTGTATTGGTTATATTACTATGAAGTGTGAACTTATGGTAAAGTGAAAGTTGAATAATTGAATAAACACTACTACAGTAACTAGTATTTAGTTATTACATACTTATATATATTGAAGTAAATTACTTTCATAACAAAAAATGTCGGTCTTATTAACAGGCCCCAACGTACCTATTGGCGAATAATCAATACATAGTGTCACAATGAAAATATAGATTTGAAATTGAACCATAGACTAGTCAGTAGCTAGACACCGAATCCAGTCTGTCGCAACAATTCAACTTGCACTTGATGCAATGTTGCACTTCTGCACAGTGCACAGGTGTGAAGTCTTCTTCATATCGTGTAAGGTGTTGGGGCCATTTGCTATTACATTTATAAATACATTAAGTAATCTAAAAATAAGTAGGTTAAAATATGATTATAAAATAAATGTTAAGATATTTTGTGATAGCCATTGAGTGGCAATTGATATTGCTTTTTTGTTGGCTAAAGCCAAGTCATTGGTCAAGGTGAAAAGTGAAGTAGTGAGTACCATAGATAAGTATACCTTTGGTGAGTACTGAGTAGAGTACTGAGACAGTGACTAATTAGTCTTCTAAGTTCTAAGTTCTGAGACCGTGATAACAGGTGAGTACTGAGTAGCAAACTTGAAGATTTTAAGCAAGGTGTATCAAAACACTTTGGTTTTAAGCACGGACTAAGATATATCTAAGTCCATGGTTTTAAGATTTTACTTTTTACATTATAGGTTATTGATTATAATCTACAAAACCTTGAGTATTGACCACGATACCCACTATCATCACAGAACAATAGAACCATAATAGAACCACAGAACAGTTCCGGTAGATAGAACCAAGGATTGTTTAACTATTGAAATAAAATGGTGGCCGAGAGTGGAACCAACCAGATTGGATTATTTTATCAGAAGCCAGATTTGCTTACAAAATAAGATATAAGAACCATAGATAATATCACGAATATAATATCAGATATCTAAGTTACTCCGTGATTAATAATATTATGAAACTGTGTAAGTGATATCATTTATCAGCGTTATAAAAATCACGTGTTTGAGACTCAAACAAAAGTCAAAACTATGACTTGTCTGTGATTTTTGAGTATACCTAGTTTATATTTTAACTGCCTGTACATACAATTATCGTCTCAAAATGACCAATATAGATTTCATTGCAACGTTTCAAAAGTTAACAGTAAATCCATTAGACTATCTAGAGTAAGATTGATTAATTAATTATTTAATATTTTTAATTTATGACATTATTTTATGGGTAAGTATTAAATAAAAGTATGTTTTGTTTCAGTGTGCAAACCAATGTTGCTGAAGAGACAACTAATTTGTTGAAACAACTGTACGATACTACTAAGAGTGTCGAAACAAAAACTGACAATACCAATGATGACGCTCTGCCTGAACTAATAGTCAAAGATTTTGATGAAGAGCAAATATGGCAAGAACTGGAACTACAAAACTCAGCACGATTAAAATTGTTGGCAACTACTATACAGGGATTCACAAGAAGTGATTTGATTTACCTCAATGAATCTGATAGTTAGTACATATTTTTTAATCAATATTAGGTTTAAGACTAAACATTGCATTTTCTTTACTAAATAAAATATACTAGTTAATCAAGGTGTTGGTAGAACTTTTTTTATACATGGCTATACTAATGTAAAATATTAAGAAATTAACAATTTTCAAATGTATATGTGTTTAATTATTTCTGTACTTAATTTAACATTATTATTGCAGGTGAATACACAAAAAAAAATTTAAAAGATACAAAGTCAACTAAAGAAGAAACTAAAATTAAAAGTAAGTATTGATAATAGGATTTAACATTGATTAATATTTTTATACATAAATATGAATCCATTATAATTATAATTGTGATAGGTGGTCCAAAACTTTTTCTATTTTTGAACCCTATTTTCTGGGAATATTACTAAGAAAAAGGTTTTATATTTCTTAGTACTATTCCTTATTTCCATTACTATATTCCTCAAAGTGATTGTTTTAATCTATAAGTAAAATTAAATTAATTTCTAATAATTAATATTATAATATAATTTGTTTAGGGAACATATTGAATTAAATAATAAAACTGATTTAATTTTAATGTAGGTAATAATGATTTTTTAATTTATAATTTCCCAAATTTGCATAGGTATGTTTAATTTTTTGTTGTTTCAGAATTAATTAAAAATAACGCTGAATTAAAGTCAGACAAATTTGAAGGTAAGTAATTCATTATAATATAATATAATACTTCAAATTTCCTTAGTTCAAAATTAAAAATGATAATTTATAATATATTTACTATTGTTTTTAATATAAATAACAATACAGTAAACAGTTGATTACCTGTAGAATAGTGTGGTACGGCAACTACAGATAAAGGAATTCTGCGTTTAATCCATAAAATACAAATTGAAACAAAGATGCTATTATTTTATAATTTAAAGAAATTATATTATTCAATATTAAATAGTATTTAAAGACAATTAAATATAAGTTTGGGCTCACTAACACAAAGTATTTTTATTTAACAATTCATATAATAGATATATAACATTTTCATTTATTTTTTCACAAATGCATAATATATCATATTGTTCATAAACCCTATTTTAAGTACTGTACATAGACTACAGATAATCGAGAGTTAACTGTATATCATTTTAAACTAATCATGACATCATTAAATACTTTGCCCTTGTTTAAAAACAATGTAATTTTTATTTATCTAAGACTCTGAAGATTCGGAGAATGATGATGAAGAAAATGAAGATGAAGAAGATGATGTAGATTATGAAGATGAAGAAGATGAGGATAATATTTCTGACTTAGGAGAGGCAGAATCTAATACTAAAAAAAGTAAATATAAAAACAATTATATTATTTATGTTTAATAATGTGATACTAATATTGAAATTATATTTTCAACTAATTGTTTTAAAAAAGTACTTCTAATCAAATGATTAATTTATTATATAAGTAGAGCAGGGCTTCCCAACTGCTGTACCGCGGCCATGTAATTTTCGTCTTATTATGTGTAGCTTGTATAGCTTGTATAAGCATTAAGTAATAAAAGTTTGAATTTAAAATTTTTATGTAAATATGCTGATAATTATTTATGTTTTGGATTTACTCAATTATAATGACTAGGTATTGACTATCCTTTACTTGTTTATAACGTCGAAAAATCAATATAGATTTATTTGTGTGTGTACATCGTGAACGCCGTAAAAATGTATTAAGAGATGTAATGCGCCATGAAGTAAAATAGGTTGGGAACCCCTGAGGTAATTGTTTTAACCATTATATTAAAATAATTCAATTATTAACTTTTATAAACCAGAAAATGTCTATGTAATAATATTACCAATCTACTAATCAATTTTAAGAGGATGCTACACCCGCATGTGCTGTCTCCGTCTTACAAATATAAAACATAGCAAAATACTTTTTGGCCGGGTAAGAATCATACAAAGGAACCAAATTTTCACACTAAAGAGGAGAACATTTACTGTGCAACGTTGTTTTTAATTTTTGAAATCTCAAAAATTCTTATTGTTTAAAATTCATTATTGTTTTCAAACTTGAATAACTTTATTTTTGTTCTGATATCCAAAAAAAAATAAAAACAACACTGCACAGTAAATGTTCTCCTCTTTATAGTGTGAAAATGTGTTTGCTTAGCTTGGACTTCAGCTTAAATAGTTCTTACCTGCTCAAAACGATTTTTGCTATGTTCTACATTTATAAGTTGGAGACAACACATGCGGGTGTAGCGTCCTCTTTAAGTAATGACTTAAACCATTTATCATTCATAATTTTTGGTGTAATTTAATTTAAACTATAACACAGGTGTTAATGACTTACACAAAACAACTAATACTAAAATTTATTTTATACTGATTTATGGACATAAATCTTTTATTATGTATTTATTCTTATAATTATTAGCATTTAAAAAGTCAATAGTCGACGATGAGTTTTTCAAATTGTCGGAAATGGAAAACTTTTTACTATCAGAGGAAAAACTGGAGACATCTAAAGATAAACCAAAATCTCTGGGTAGCGATGTTGATATGTTTCAAGACTTACAATCTGAAAATGAAGTAATGAATAAATACTGTTTATTTTACTTTTAAAATGTTTGCACATTTAATTTAAAATTATTTTGTCAAACGATAACTGTGAATTTATATTATTATTTTATGTATTATAAGCCTTGAAGAATGTTTTTGGATTAACACATACTTATTTTATTAAATAACAGGAAGAAGATAATTTTGGTCCTATGTATCAAGAATTTTTTGAGAAACAAACAAATGGAACTGGAAAAAAAAGCAAATCAAAAAAAAGCGTAAGATTTGAAATGGACGATGAACTAAGTGAAAATAATGAAGAAGGCACAAATGAACCAAATGAACCTAATGAAGACAAAAACGAACATTTATCAACTTTAGAAATGAGATCAGAACGAATTAACAAGCGTATTGCAAAATTGGAAGAAGAAGCAATATCTGATAATAAACCTTGGGCTTTAAAGGGTGAAGTTGCAGCTAAGGACCGCCCTCAAAATTCTTTATTAGAAGAGGCTGTTGAATTTGATGTCTGTACTCGTCCAGGTAAAATATAATAAATGATAAAATAAAATTGGTTGATTCCTTTGAAGAATTTAATATAAACAATGTATCAATTTAATATTTAGCGCCAATTATTACTGAAGAAACTACCGTAAAATTGGAAGACATCATTCTACAAAGAATAAAGGACAAAGCGTGGGATGACGTAGAACGGAAAATAAAACAATCAAATGCACCACAAGAATTTAAAAAACAATTGGTTTTAAACCAAGAGAAGAGCAAAGAAAGCTTATCCCAAATTTATGAAAAAGTATAGTTTGTTGTGTTTGTTGTTTGCTTATTAAGCTAAGTATAAATTATTTTAGGAATTCGTTAAACAAAGAGAAGCAGCTGATCCAGAAAATAAAAATAAACCTGAAGAAGATCCAAAAGAGCATAAAGAAATTGATTTAATGATTAGAGAATTATTTAGAAAATTAGACGCACTTACAAACTATCATTATACTCCTAAACAGGTTAAAAAAAATTTTATTATTCTAATAAATTTTATAACAAAGTGAAACTCACCAACAAAAATTGATTTACGTTTTTCATGGAATAGAATTGAAATAATTGTTCAGTTAATTGTCTTACCACACAACAATTGCCTTTAAACTTAATACTTAATAGTGATGCAAAATATATTTTGAGTTATCGATATCGGTTCATTGATAGCGATATCGAAAAACAAACAATATATCGATATAATTTTTTATTTTATAAGACTAAAAAATAAAAAGTAAAAAGAATAATTATTAGTTAGAAAAATTGTCCAAGTGATGTATATATTTGAACATATTGTGGTATGTTACCATTTTTAAAATTATACTTCATTAAATTTCAATATAAACTCTGAATTGTGTATAATATGTATACAATTAAAGAATACACCATATGCTGTTTAATAACAAATAATAAAAAATATAATTATTTTTAAGATCTATATTCTTTTTCCATTTAAACTTTTCTTTACAAATACATTCAAATTGTATAATTACATAATATAATATACAATTAGGTTTATGTTTTTAACTCAATAATTTTAAACGCTGTCAACTAAAAGAAGTAAATTTGTAATATTTGTAAAATAATTGGTTATTCCAAGACAAAATGTGTAAATAGAAAACAGAAATTTCAAATTGCAACAACATCAATTTTTAATACAGATATTGATAAAATGTTAAATAATTTTGTCATATTGATATCATAATATTCATCCGATATCGAAATACAATATTGTTGTGCATCACTAAAAATTATTAATATGTCTATAATTTCAACTAATACTAAAAGTTTGTAATTTTTGTATTAGGCCATTCCCGAATTAAAAATTGTCAATAATTTACCAGCTATATCAATGGAAGAAGTAGCTCCAGTTGCTACGACTGATGCCTCATTATTAGCACCGGAAGAAATACAAAGTTTGTTTATTATTTTTTACATTCTTGTGAATATTTATTTTTTTAACCTAACAAATTTTAGGAAAATACAAAGCACCCGTTCTTGGCAAAGAAGAACGTACTAGTACAGACAAAAAACGTGAACGTCGGAAGAAAAAGCATTTGCAACACAAGAAACGTGTAACAAAAGAATCTAACCTCAAGGAAATGGAAAAAAATGGGTTTAAACCTAAGCATAGTAAAGACAGTGCTCAAAAAGAACTGAAACGGTTAACAAGTAGCGGACATCAAATTAAAGAAGTAAGCATGAAATACTAGTACTCAATGTCACTAGTACATAATAATATTATCTTGTGTCAATGTCACTAGTACATAATAATATTATCTTGTGTTTATATATCAATGATTTATTTCAGTTAAAATCTATGGATGACAAGAGTATGAAAACATCTAAAGATTTCTTTTCCAGACTTCAGGATCAGGCAAGAAATGAAATTGATGGAAAGAAAAGAATTATGAAACAAAGTAATAGAAATAATACCAAAAAATTTAAAAAGTGATCAACACTATGATTTTTGTACTATTTTAAAATGTCATGTTCCAATCACTATAATATAGTTTACTTTTTAAAATTTGTAATGTTTTATAAATGAAGGTTTCATGAAAAACAAATTTATTTGACAAAAAAATAAATATTTCATAAATTTAATTCTTTTAAAGAAAGTGTTGATGTTTGTATTTTTGGCAACGTCAGTTGACAAATTTATATTAGAATAAACGGGTACATAATTATAATTTATAATATTTACATAAAAAAAATTACAAATATATGTATCACTTGGTATTTGGTCTTAATAACAAACAATAAATTTTATAAATTTTTATTTATTGAGGTTTTCATGGGACCATGATGAATAATCTTAAATTATACTTTGCCAATTTTTTGTTTTTCTTTTTCTAAGGTTTTTGCTTTAGCTCTTTCGTACAATGGTACCAACTTTCCATCTTTGGCTAATAACTTCAATATTTCCACAATTAACGGTAAATAATTATGTTTACGGCGGGCATTTTCAATTTTGTATCGTTTCATTTTGTCTTCCTCATCAGCAATTTTCATACGGATATTACTTTCTTCAGAAATTTTGGTTGCTTCATCCTAATTTAATTTTAAAAAACATAAATTAATGCTTATTAAGTAGATTAATACAATTTTAATCATACCAATTCTTCTGTTTTAAGGCTCAATAGTCGTTGTTCCAAAATTAATTTCCTATCGGATACTACTGCCATCAAGTTAAAATGAACTTCTCCTTCCTTATATCTAAAACATCAATAAAACATAAATAAAAAGTATAAACGAATTTTCAGAGATCTAAAACATTATTACTTGTTTATTCTTTTTTCAATAAATGGTTTTGCAGCTTCAACCCAATCTGTATTGGGTTTTATTAATCCTAAGTCAATTGGACCTTCTTTCAATCCATCTAATTCATAAAGACGACCTTCAATAGGCACAATTGCGACAAAATGATAAGCCTCATCATCTTTTGATTTTGGTTTAGCAGTATCGTCAAATTCAAAAATAGAATTGCTCCTAATACAAGATATCAATAAATATTTTACTGTAAAACAAACCATTTTTTATAATACCTTCCAAAAGAATTATGCACTGAGCGAATTTTTTGTGAATTACTTAAGGCCAAACCTTTCATATTAGCATCAAACTTTTGAGAAAACTCTTTGAATTCGTTTAGAGTTGTGCCAAGCTCAATGTCTGGATGACGACAGTTAAATAATACACTTAAAATAGCCTGTGTAGCACAAGCATTATTTATAACCTAATAATAAAAAAAAATGATATGAATAATAGGTATACAATTATGTAAGTAAACATGTTATTTAATAATGATCTTAAAAAAACAAATTAGAAATATTGGAAACTACACGGTTTAATAAATTTAAAACATAAAAGTTATTTTAATAATTGCTTCTTTTCTTGTGCTATTGACATTAAATAGAAAAAAAAATTTAATATAAGACAAATGTATATAAATTAGTCTTAAGCAAAAGAATAATAATTGTGGTGTGAGACTAACCTGTTTAGCAAAAAATAACTTTTCAATTCTCGAATCCCTGACAATCGGTCCATCAGGTTGGTCTTCTCCTATCCACCGGAAAAGGAATATTAAACCGTGAACAGGCCTAAATAATAATAAGAACAATAATATAACATAGTAGGTATGTGGTATCAACTTAAGAATAAAAAAACAAAAGGCTCACTTGATTGCGTCAAACAAGCTGCTGTCCAGTGTCCATAATTCTTCAACCTGAGCTCCGGTCACGCCTTAAATAAAATACACGCAAGTGAGTTAATAGCATGGTAAGATAATCCATGACAAGACGTTGGGACTATTGCTCTACGGACCACTTACCAAGTTCGCGAATCAGTTCAGTAAACACACCAGGATCGCTTTCGATTAAGCACCAACCCACAGAATCAGACATCGCTGCAGTTGGCTGGTTGGTGAACGTCTGCACGTGAACGGTTTGAGGTGCTGTTTAATAGAAAAAGAATTATCTTAATGGCTAAAACTCGACAATGTATTGCAATCAGCGTTTTTGCGAAATGCGAAGGTGTCGTCTCATATGAAGTATACATAAATCAACCGACACAGTGCGCGCTACTACTACGCAACAATGAATTATACAATGAATACAAAATAATAATAATACAAACGAAACATACCGTGTAGGATGCAACCGATAAAGATTCAAAATAATACGGAATATTATCTAAAAATCTAATGACGAAGAATGTCTCCCGGTCAAATCTAGGCAATAATAACAAATAACAATTATTACTATTATTGTGGTGTGAATTGTACTTATACAAAATGCTTACCCGTCATCAACCAGAAGTTAGTAACGAGAACCGGACGTCTGTGTCAGGGACCGGTGTGGAGGGGTGTACTGAGCATAGATATTAAAGAATGGATAGGCCACGGACTAAGATAATAGAATGGCTAAATAACTATAGGGAAATTTGACGAAATGTAGAAAAAAGGAAGACTATTTTTATCATTGCCTCTCATTCTATATAGTAGAGGCGTAGAGGTAAATTCATAATATATATTCATATATTATGATGTACGTGGATGTACTTATGCCACAGAAATACTACACTATACATGCTGTACTGTACTGAAATCTGTGACTTGTGCAGTTGTGCATCAATTAAAAAAATTGTGATAAGACCTCTATAATTGCATGTTCATTCCCGTACGATAGCTTATTATGAATGCATTATAAATTATAATTATATCTATAGTGCCGAGTTCCGACTGCCATGTATATATTTTAATATTTATTATTTAAAATAATATTATTGAGTACCACAAATAATAAGATACATACCTAATATTCTATATTTTAAAAGAGGCCCAATTCGATGGAAAACTCAAAACGGTATCATAATACAAAATAATTAGTGATCCTGGATATGTCAATTATGAATTTAATTATATTATGGATAAAAAGTAAAAACAGGATTTTTAATCAATCATATCAAAAAGTATCTTCCGGTACCGGGAATCGAACCCGAGCCTCCTGGGTGAGAGCCAGGTATCCTAGCCACTAGACCATACCGGATTGCTATTTGAACTAATAGATTATTGAATATTTAAGAAACTATGTAGTATTACAAGTTACAACCACGATATAATATAATATTACTATTTTAAATCGTGCTTTAAATTATCATTTTGTATTTTATAAACAAGACAGTTACAAAATTAAAACTAGAATGTTTAGCTAAAAAGTTATATTTGAAGAACAAATTTACTTTAAATGCTGCCACGAGTTTTCTTATTTTTCAACTAATTTTGGAAGTTACATAATTGAAAACTTTTTTTTACGGATGCATATAAGTTATAACGCTGTAGTTAAGTAGTTTACCACACTTTTAAAACAAATTTAGATTTTTTTTTAAAACACTCGTATTTTAATGAATTAAGAATGATAATGCAATCAGAATTTACACAACCAGCGAGTCATACCACAGAATATAACAATCATACTATTAAGATTTAAGACTTTAAGAGTCATGTTATATTGTTATAATATAATTTATTATTTTGATTTCAATAGGGTAACTATTACTAACTTAGGTTATTTAAAAAAAGACAAACTTTTTATGGCTTAATTATTATTCATTATTTTAGTAAATTTCATTTACACATCGTAATGGCCAATGGGTTACTACTTACTATCATAGTATCATAGAACAATAGTAGTATCGTTGTACCATTGATTAAATATAGGTACGTATATTTAATCAATGGTTGTACTATATGTCTATAATCTTCGATTCCTATATGCAATATGCCTGCAGACTGCAAAATATAGGTGGTTTCAAAATGGATGGCTTTCCAGCAAGTACAACAAATGTAGATAATTGTTCAACCTTTTGTATTCGGCACTTCGCAATTGTTTTAGAGCATCAATTTTGCCATATAGATATCCAGCATTTAAAGTAAACAAGTAGTCGCTACCTTCGCGCCTTGGCCAAGCGGCTCCGGAAATGAATTACCTGTACGGCAGTATCTACTCACTCTGTAAAATTGTTTTTGGATGTAGGCATGTAGCCGTGTAGGACATAAGTACGAATGTACAAGATAATATGAATGATAGATAATAAATATTATTGATATTATAAATAGAAGTTATGTGTTAAAGGTGTTATAGTTGTATACTTACATGACATGTCAAGCTGGCCATACTTACTGGGCCAGCTTAATATTTATTCATTCATTATTGTAGTTAATCAATATATTATTAGGTATATAATAATTATTTTAAAAATGTTTACAAACAGGTTTTTATTTTTTTCTAATTAAATATATTTAGAGGTTTTTGGAAGTAAGCTGTGACAACACCAGTTATTACTTATTATTAAACTTATGATTATGAGTTACGAGTTTACGACTATTAAGTTAAGTATTAGCCACTAACTTTAGTCATGGTATTATCATTGATTATATTATAATCAATGGTATTATAGTTATTAGTGTTATTACTTATTAGTACCTAATTATAACTATTACTATTAAGAGGACGCTATACCCGCATGCGTTGTCTCCGTCTTACAAATGCACAACATAGCAAAAAACTGTTTTGCGCGGGAAAGAACCGAGAAGGTTTTTGGAAGTAAGCTGTGCAACGTTGTTTTACTTTTATTCAACTTATGATTTGAGTTACGAGTTTACGACACCACTAACATAGTCCTTTATTAAATTGATTATATTATTCAATGGTATTATAGTTATTATGTTATTACTTTAGTTAACTTTGCAGTTTGCTACAGAGACTTGTAAATTAGTATTTAAATAATGTTATTAGTTACTATCACGATTATTATTCTATTATTATTCTTTATAATCGTGGTTACAAATTAAGCAGTCAGGGATATGGGATAACCGATAAGGCAGTGGATCAGTAGGAACAGTGAATTCGAATTTCGAATGGGTGGCTACAGAACTAGGCTAACTAGCTCTATCTAGGGGCGTTTTAGTTTCGGTCAGAAGTTCAATCGTTATATTTCGAATAAATGGTATCAATTCTCACATGTGATGTTCCAAACAACATTGCTTTATATATATACTGCGTTTGGCACAGTTCTCAATGTACTTGCTTCGGCAGTACATATACTAAAATTGGAACGATACAGAGAAGATTAGCATGGCCCCTGCGCAAGGATGACACGCAAAATCGTGAAGCGTTCCACATTTTTTTGTCAGGTTAAATTTTTGAATCGCAATTCACAAATAAATAATAATCGTAAATTTAAAATTGTGAGGGAAGAAGATCTTTAGTTTTTTTTTGACACATTTTTATGCTACTGTACTCGAATCAGTTTTCGTTACATTAAAAAGATGATTAAAATAAATATTTTTCTAATTTAAACTAGTAATTTTATAGGTACCTACCTATTCCTCTTGGTATGATTGATGTATTGATGTATATACAATATACGTAGAAATATCGAATACATTATTGTATTTCGTAATAATGAGTAATGGGGGAAACTAACCACTTTAAGGGGGGGGAATGGCGACAACCGCCCCGGGTAAAAATGTGTTCATTATTATTATTATTTGAATTTATTATTAAAAATTTTATGAAATAAGTAATTTTAATAATATTGTAATGTAATATAATAAATATATAGAGATAATATATTAAGCTGTTAGAAATTTAAGCAACTACTGTAGGTATTTAATATTTATAGCTATCACCTATCATCAAAATATGCACTATAGAATATGATATTCTAAAATAGGTATGTAAAACCATGTACGATGCACCTATTAAAACTTGATAAAATAATAAATAACATTTTTAACAATTAATAAAATTTACCAATTTTTTTTTTCAAAAATGAATTCATTCTGGTATGGCATATATGAAATTTACTATAGTTGATGACAGTTTAAACTTGATTAATATTTTTTTGAAAAAGCAATTATAACACGGTCAATGAGGGGGGCTTCAACCCGTTAGCCGTTTCAACATCGTTTCTTTTTTGTTTTTACACGACCGTTTTTACTTTTTTTTACACGTAGCTATTTATTTTTTTGTACCTAATGTTGATGCTTTACGGAAGGTTTAGCGAGTTTGTTTGCTTGGTTTAGTTGGTTACACTGTTAATGACAAAATTGTATCATATCTTTTTCAGTATTCAGATTTCTGATAAAGAATCCGGTAGCTTGTTTATCTTTATTAATTATTATGTATTATACTATTATGAACTGAAAATTGAAGATAGGTATGAACTGTTTTTATTGCTGCTTCTCCAAATTATAAAATATATAATATAAATTATTAAATAATATTTTTTATCTTTGATTGTGTGTATTCTAAATTAAAAAATAACGATGGCTCTTGCTAGTATGCAAAGGAAAACCAATGTGAGTAAAATTAATTCCATGGTTTTAAGCTTCGAAATGTTGTATGTTTACTATTGTTAAGAAGTTTTATTTAATAATTTATTTAAATTATTTGTTCCAGGTACGATTGCCTCCAGAAATTAATAGGGTTCTTTACATAAGAAACTTACCTTACAAAATAACAGCTGAGGAAATGTATGATATTTTTGGAAAATATGGCGCCATTCGTCAAATTAGAGTGTATGTTTTCTACAACTATCATTTTATTAATAATTGTTGGGAAAATGAAACCTTGACACTTGTTTAAACTTATCAGGAGTGATATATCATCTTTAAAACTGAAACCTTTAATAACTCATTATTTGTTTTGGTCGCAAATGATTTAAAGTTTTATACCTATTACTAAGCAGTCTTCTGTTAACTCTATTTTTATTTACAATAATGATCGGCTTCCGACCATTATATTCTTTCTTTCCTAAGAGGAGACTACCCATGTGTTTGTTGTCTCCGTCTTACAAACATACGACGTGGCACATTTTTGTTCACTATTTTCAATAGTGAGCTGTTAGTTTTGATATTAGTGTAAATTGACCTATTATCAAACTTTTAGGTAAGAACATTATCTGTGCTTAAGCTTCAGCATTTTTTTTTGATATTTTCAAGTAAGAAATGGGTAAGTGAAATATAACAAATTAAAAATGCTTATCTTGCTTGAAAACTAAAATATCAAATAAAATCCACTCAAGCATAGATAATGTTCTTACCTAAAATATTATCTTCTTAAAATCTTTAATTAAATAAATATTGTATAATATAGTAAGAAATTAATAAAATAAAAATTTTTTATTAAACGTTATTATAAGTAAATCTAAAATTATTTTTGTTTGAATTTAAAAAAAAGTCAACCTATTTAATTGTATTACCTATATCAATTGTTTTACCTTCTATTTGGATTTATTGTTTGTTGAATATGTTATAATTATTACTTTAAATATTTTATTTTTTCCTGATTAAGTAAAAGTGTTAGAGTTAAAAGATTTATAAAATTAAGCATTTAGAATAATTTTTTACTTTAAAGTTTGTATCTTTTAAATAGTTTAGAAGCCCCCCACAAAGATATGATTAATCTTAAATAAAAACCCTAACCAAACTAACATCCTACTTACGTTACTGTTACTAAGGGTCTTTGGCCCCTGATTGCCAACTCCCACTTTTAATATATGTAACTCATAAAGTCTAGTGCTATTATTTTTTTTTTGGTTTCAATAGCAATTATATTCTATGAAACATAAAAGGTCCAATATTTTTTTTAATAATTCATTTATACCAGGCGATTCTTTTATTATGAATCACTCATTAAATTAAAAAGTATTATTGTTTTTGAAAAACAAATTTACATAATTTTTGGTGGTCAAAAAATTTATAATTATAAAAATTATTTTCAAAAACAATACTTTTTTGAAATAATGAGTTTCTTTTAAATTAATTACCTGGTACACATATTCCAATTTTCCATTGTATTACAAAACCAATTATGTATTAATACATTGTAAGATGATCATATTGAATTATTTTACTGTTTATATTACACTACAGTGCAATTATTTAAATGTTCTAACCCAACGCATTCACGTTATGTTTTGAAAAACTTCAATGATACCATACATTTTATTTTAATCTAAATTTAAACTTTAGTTAATAATTATTTTCGTTTTATAGAGGCAACACCCCAGATACAAGAGGAACAGCATTTGTAGTATATGAAGATATATTTGATGCAAAGAATGCCTGTGATCACTTGTCTGGATTCAATGTGTGCAACCGATACTTAGTCGTCTTATATTATCAGGTATCATTTTCATTTATTTTAGTTGTAAAAATATTGTACTATTATGCTATATTTTATGTTGTTTAGTCAACCAAAGCATTTAAAAAATTGGATACAGACAAGAAGAAAGCAGAATTAGAAAAAGTTAAAATGAAATATGGCCTCAGTGAAGAAAATTAGAACTAAATTATTTTCTCTGCAGATAACTGATTAAAGACATATAATGTGCATGGTATTGTTTAACTATAACGGAATATGTAAATATTAAATTAAAATTAAGTTTAAAGATTTTTTTTTAATTATAATTATAACTTTGATATATCTTATTTTTAATGTATTCAGCTATAATCAACAGTCTATCATAAGCTAGTAATTATGGTTGACTGAGACTGTTGTCTATGGGATCATTAAGTCATTAAGACAAAATGTATTTTTCAATTTATTTACCTAAACATATATTATACACATCAATACATGATTCAGATTATAAATTTACACAAAAAATAATTGGTTATCCTCAAATTATTATCTACATTTTATTGATAATGATTAATAACAACTGATGATTTAAGCTCGATAGATAGAAAGCAGTGGCGGCGCGAAATCGTGGAAACTTTGAAGCATATTGTAAATTTTAAAAAATTTTACCACCTCACCCTCCATTGAATCAAATTAGCAGTAGGGGCCATTAATAATTATTAATTATAATATTTGCCATGATATTTGTGTTTAGGTCTTACGTTAATATATATATTTATACACCCACCCACCCATTTGAGACATGAAGCAATTGCTTCAAATAATCCTATATCCCGCCGCCACTGATAGACAGCATAGATTTTAATTTTCGAATGTGCCGCAACTCTTAAGTACCAAATTTAAATGACTTTTATACCTCAATCAGAGGATAGTAAACATTATATAAGATCAGTAGTGTATATAGGATGGGGTGAAGAGGTTTAAACCCTACCCAAAAATAACAAATGTGTTGAATTATTATTATTAATTACACTTTCAGGAATCCCAACTCTGGATTTCTATACCCCCCCCCACACAAAATTAAAACCTATATATTAATATACTACTGTATAAGATAGTATTTGAAGCTAGATAAATGACCTTGATTCAGCAATCATTAAAAAGACTAACATGACATAACATTTACTTAATTCATGTGTACATTTTAATTTGACACAATTTTTAAATAAGATTTGACTTAGATTGTGTAGTCGAACAGAATTCAACCATTTCACAAGTAATCAAGCAATTAGTTAAAAAAAACAACAAAATATTTTGGATTTGAAATATTTGAATCTGGTTGATTTTTGAAAGAATAAGGACTGGTTTTTAAAATACAAGTTGAATTGTTCTAAGAAAGTAAAGACAACCTAGTTAGTGGGTACTTATTAGAAAACTATTAATATCCTAACAAATGAGTTACGTCCAACATAATATAGGTGTGTCAAGTGGTGACTTTTGAACTCTATGACAATAATACTACACAAGCAGATTGCTTGGATTAGAATATAAGAAATAATATTATTATTATGACAAATAGTTTTAGAAAGACTCTTTATGGCCACAAATCCGGTATTAAGGTAGTAAATGTATACTTAATATTTACACACACGTGTTACATGTATATTATATTTGTGTATAATAAGTTCGAAGTATAAATTATACCTATATTATGGGCATATGGCTATATAGTCATAAAGAATATATTATGTAGGTGAGTATGTGTGGTTAACGAGAAGCCGGACGACCAGTATTGCCGCCCCAACTATAGAATATACAGTACGGGCAGATCGTGATCATCGCCCCACCACATAGCTAACTTGAACATTAATAACAACGCGCGTAGGTACCAGCTACCTACCTTCATAATAGTATTATAATATCATGTACATTATAATATTATATATCTACCATTCTACCTCTATGCTTATGATGTGTTCGGGTTACATCACAACACGGCGGAACCGCGCGGGCTTCCATCGCCGAAGAAACCCGTCACATCGCAGTGTTTGTCAGCGATCCGTGCAACACGGTCCTGCGTACTTTTTTTCACGATAATCGTTAATCACTATATCAGTATCGTGTGCCCGTGGTCCTTAGACATATTTTTTAAACGTCGTAATAGTCATGAACCATCATTTCCTAGCGTTTTAAATCGGCTGGTTTACCTTTATATACAAAATACTGTACATTGTATATTTGTGTATCTGCGGCACCAAGAGACAACCGTCGAACGATTTAGATATTGTATACCTGAGGGCTAAGATACCCGAAGACCTACCTATGTGTTTAGGTGTTACATCTGCGTGAAGGAAAAGCGCTCATAATATATTATGGTATTATTATAATGCTTATTTCAGGTACTTAATATTATATATTATAGTAAATACATCGTAAATTAAACATTTCCCTGTATTCTCTATTCTCTAATTACTATTTACTAGTTATTAATTATCTATAGGTACTATTATGATAGATCATTCGGTTTAAATACGACTTCTACACCCGTAGCGCACTCACGCGTCGTTCGAATCAGGGACAAGTATTAGCCAAGGGAGCCTCCCACGCAGAGCTCACAGCAAACTCACATATAATTCCACAATTTTAAAGAAATATTTAAGCTTTATACATATTATATAATTAAATAACTTTAAAAAATGTGGGCAAGTAGGTAACGCTCTGATGTGGTGTCGAGTGGGTCACTATGGATGTGTTTGAATTTGAATTCGATGATATAAAATCATAGTATACGAAAAACGTTCTGAGTGAAACCGTCTGTCAGCCTATAGGCTACATTATTACTATTAAGTATTTACTAAGTACATTTTGATATATTAGTGGTATTTAAGTACCTAATTTAAGTATCTTAAGTAATTTTTATTGCTATTAGTTATTACTAATACATAGGTAGTAAGTTAAATTAACAATCTTCGTAAACATTGCATTTAAAAATATCATTGTGTTTAAATCATTAAAATATAGCTACCTAAAAAATTGCTAGTAGGTACCTACCAGTTTTGTAAAGTATTCGAATAAAAGTATTTGCTACTTTTACAAGTATCGAACATTTGAAAGATCCCGTATAGTATATTATAATTATTACACCATATCTAAATGACTAATGATATCAACAATAAAGCTATGCGCTATTGATGGATTTGATAATTGTATATTATTTTAAAATTGACAGGATAAATATTTGTTTTGCGTAGGTAAATTTAAATAAATTCAACCCGCACCTCTCCCCAGATCATCCAGATCTTTCCTCTAAATCATTCCCTGATTCGAATATCAGCGGCTCTTGAATTTCGAATTTTGATTGCAACTGCTGTTAGGTTAGATATTACAACTCAATAATAACAAATTTCACCCAATGATGGATCGGTGTGAGAACTGCGGAGACGAATATGAGCGGTTGCTTAGCGAAGAGGATGACCGGTCGTCGGCACCCGAGAATCATAGCGACGAGCGTCCGCTTCATCTGCGGCAGCGGCCCGTCGATACCGGTCGGCGCTTCGCCTATGGCTTCGGACACGTGTTCAACGATATCACCGCAGCCATTTGGTTCTCTTACACCATGGTGTTCATGCAAAACGTGGTTGGCGTGCCCGGAACCACCGCTGGGTTTCTGCTGTTTTTCGGCTAGTATTTACAAAACAATTTATAAACTATACATATTTCTAGTAATCAATAATTATACATCTAACTCGAAATAACTATACGTATACGGTATACCTATGAGCATTTGGTATAGACTATATTAAAGGTGCAATTTTGAGGGAGCCTCAGCTTTTTTTTTCCTGTTTTGAAATTAGACATTCGACACTTCAACATTTTTCTTTTAGATTCAATAGCAGTTGAAAAATATTAAAAATATATATAATATGCACAATATTTTTATAAGCTTTTAAAGTTCGAATTTTGTCAAAATGTATCAAATTTAAAATTTAAAAAAGTGGGTAAGTGGATGTTGCTCAGTGCTCTGCTGTACAGTAGGTTACAAGTGGGTCACTGTAATTTATGGTATTAAATTTTAATTCAATGATAAAATATCATTGTATACGAAAAACGATTCTGAGCGAAGACGGTCAGACAGCGTATGACATTACCAAGTATATTTGATGATATTATTGTGAATTAAGTAATTTATATAATATAACCTAGGCATTACGTGAAACCTTGTTTTAAATTTTCAATCATTAACTATAAAAGTAGAATATTTTATACATTTTTAACAAAAAAATAATTAATTAATTTTGCCAAAATTTGAACTTTAAATGCTTATAAAAAAAAAACTGTGACTAAGGATTTTTAATATTTTTCAAATGCAACTGTAACAATATTGTAGGAGCCTTGTATTAAATTGTCAATGTTTTTTACCCAACAAATAAAGTTTTATTGACATTCATGGGAAAAGAGTTATACCAAAAACCAAAATCGATTTTGTCGAAAACTCATTTTTCGTAAAAATTCCCGGTTTTCCATATTTTTTTTTGTGTTTCTCGGCGCTTTTGAAAACTATTGGGAATATAGGATTTTGACTTCAAAATACTGAAGTTGAAAATCGATCCATTATTTCGACTACTGATCGTGTACACGACACAAAAATTAAAAAATTAAAAAAAATCCACATAATATCCACATCATTGTAAAATCAATATATTCAATTGTTCTGCTCATAATCTAAATCTAAATATATTGTCAAAAACTGGTGTAGTGTTAATATTTTAGTTTTTCCAACTTTCCTGATTATTTTGATAAGTATACCGTAAAATGGGGTGGCTCCGGATAGATGAACGTTTTTTTCAAAAATTTACCTCCAAAAATTATATACCATGTTCTTTAGGTACCTATGTTGAAATCATATAGGTGAGGAATAATCATTAAAGTCATTAAAGTTCACACTTTTTTAAAAGTTGAATTTTGTCCGTAGTGACCCTCAAAATGGGATGACTTTGGACACTTATTTGATTTTATTAAAAACCAATGTTGAAGTTTTTATATAACTTAAGGATTGTCCTGTGGCGATACAAAGTACAAACTTACATTTTTCAAATAAGAAATGAGAAATGAGAATAAATTATAAAGTGTAATTTTTTGAACATTTCCCTGTTCCTAAATCAAAATTTGAACAAGCATTTTCTAAATTATTAAAATGTTAATACTAAGGATAGTTGTCCTTAAGAATGGTTTTACAACAATATAAAATTAATTTAACATTGGATCTAATATTAATTATATACTTGATCATTTTTACAAATTATAAATGTTGATAGATTAATATTAGTTATTATAAATCACCATAGCCCCTAAATGGCCAAATCTTCCAAATCCACTATCACGATTCATAGACCCTTAGTAGGTACACAAAGTTAAATAGGCAACAAAAACTACTCATTCGAACATTGATTTTGATACGTCGATATTTTCAGATAAATTATCTGCTAAATAATTTAAAGTAGGTAGGTATATAAAAGGGAGTTCTCATTTGAGAAACAGAAGTTTGTATCTCCACAGAACATTCCTTAAGTATTACAAAAAATATCAAGATTTGAAAATATGGTCTTTAGACTTTAAGTATAGGTAGGCATATTTTAAATTCCAAGAATCAGATTATGAATAATTTCATTATTTAAAAAAAAGAGATTTACTATGGTTGGTGAATCTCCCTGCAGTATTTATGACATTTTTTCGTTGTTATAATTATGCACAAAGTAGCAGTGTAGAAGGTGTTAGATAGGTACTTACATATAGTATAATTATGATATTTATGAATATAATATAAATATTATACTCTATATCTAATAATAATTTATGGATAGGTCAAACTGTTGATGCAATAGCAACACCATTTGTGGGAATCATGGTTGACAAATTTGGAAAAAAGAAAAATTGGGTGCTTTTAGGTAAATATGTCTTTAGGTACTATTACTTACCTAATATATTTTATAAATATATTTCTGTTAATCGTTTTTATAATGCAATATTTATTACACAAGTAAAAACTAATTGAACATTCACATATTTTCCAGGCACAGTAATGGAAGCCATAAGTTTTCCGTTAATATATTACGTTTGGAATCTGACCATAGTCGTAGCTATCTTGATTTATATTTGCTCGATATTAATATTCCAAATGGCATGGGCTCTTGTTCAAATTTCCCACTTGTCGTTGATACCAGAGCTGACTGATTTGTCTTTAGAGAGAGGCAAATTAACTTCAATAAGGTGCGTTTTACATTATGTATTATATATATAAATATATAATTATAAGTTATTCTGTATTCATTACCCATTATATATTTATGTAAGATATTATACCTATTACCTATTATATACTATTTACAGCAGTCATTCAAGTTTCAACTATACAATTGACAAATAATATTATTTTCATTGTTTGTTTATAATTTATATTTTATACAGGCGTAGATATAGTCACCAATTCCCATAGACCATAGTCACCTATATAATAATATATTTATATATGTACTTTAATAATTAATAATTATTATAGTATTAGTATACCTGCATCGTGTCATCTAATTGAAATTATTTCGTGTTTATATAGATACGTATTCACAGTATCCACGAATATTTTAATGTTCATCATCGCTTGGTTAGTGTTCAGAGGTGTACGGAATAATGGAAATATGGGTAGTCTCATTGGTCCTAACGATTCAGAAAAATTTCAAGTTAGTTTTAAAATATATAGGAGGTCGCTACTATACCATAGGCTAAATATAGTAGTATAGTATATTTTTTAATCAATGACTACAACTACCTATTTTATAATTTATACACTTCTCATGATTTATAATATAATATATAAGTACAATCACCCAGAGGCGTGCTCAAGGGGGTTTAGGGTTCAACCCCCCTCCTCCCATGGACACTCTACAAATATAATATGTACTCACATGTAATTATAATTGTAATTCTCAGTTTTAGATCAATCAGCTATTCCCCCCTCCAATTCAAAATTCTTAGGCACGCCTTTGCAATCACCTATATTATGTACCTATATACGGGCTTTAGGTATTTATTAATTTGTCTATGCTTATTGTTAGCGTATGTAATTAATTTAAAAATACTCTGTCATATAATATAGATGTTAGCGTTGATTGCTACAACGATTGGAGTGTTCTCTGCGTTTATTTTCCATGGACTATTGAAAAGCCCACGAATTACCAATACAAAGTTGATGTACAGGCAGAATCGACAAATAAATGTCAATAAAATACTAACATTTTGTAAAAACGTTCAGCTGTATCAAGTGGCTGTTGTGTTTACGACTTGTAAGCTACTGATAAATATAGCTCTGATCTATATACCACTTTTCATCAACGAATCGGCAATTGACGAATCTGGTACCATTGCTAGCATACCGTTAGTGGCGTATGTGTCTTCTTTGATCACATCTATAGGCGTGGAATACATTAAACCATGTTTTAAATCTGATAAAGTAAGTTCGAATAGTATATTACCTAATTGTATACTACGATGAGATATTATTATAATAATTTTCTACCGATATTAGGTAGGTAAGTATATTTCATAAATATATACCTAATATATAATACAAGGCTAATAAGTAATAATAAGTACCTAATAATACGCTATAAGACTTAGTTAGGTTAGTAGGTAGGTACCTACCTATTTCCCAATAGATAATACACTCATACTTATTGGCTATTACACAAGGCGCTTAAAATGGAAAAAACTAAAAAAAGTGTAGTTATTAGGGCCAATTATAGTCAGTACACACTGCTTGTCCACTCCTCCTCTCTTAAAAATGGTAGAAAAATCAAACCTCTTCAGCCTTTTGGTTCCTCAGATTCTGAGCGGAGCGATGATGTACCTATTTATTTTACAATGATGTGTGTTTTTTTTGTTTTTTATGTGTCTGTCATCACCGTTTACTTTTTAGGACAGTACAAATACTTAGATTTTCTTTAACAGTATCTTTTCTGATAGGAAAGTGAATCTAGTTGGTACTTTGGGGGGTCAAAATTTCTCAGTAGTTTTCAAAAGCGCTATGAAAAACAAAAGAAAATTTAAGGAAAAATGGGAATTTGTACCTACGCAAAATCTGTTTTCGAGAAAATTGATTTTGGTTTTTGTGCTACTCTAATACAAATGATCGTAGGTACATGAAATGTTCACTGAATGTATATATTAACATTTTCTATACACCATAATATTTTCCAAATATTTTGACTTATTTTGAGCTGTTTACGGACAATTTCAGTTTTCATTTTTTTTTCTAAAAATATCAATAAAATTGTATTTGTTAGTTAAAAAAACTTGAAAATTTAATAGGAGGCTCCTAGTATATAGTTTCAAAGGCAGATGAAAAAAATGTCCATATCCCCCCTCCCAAAAAAAAAAAATTTCCTACCTTTTTGTGTTAAGCTTATTCAATATTATCAAAGTAAGACTTTAGCCCCCCCCCCCCCAAATCCCAAACACTATTTGGTTTACTACTATGGGTATATCGAAATACCGAAATAATAAATAAAATCTACCAAGTACCTACTGATATATTTTAAAGTACCTATACCGTTTATACGGTTTTTACGGTACGGTATACCTACCGTTTAGACAATATTTTACTTTATTACCTTTTTTTTTTTTTTTTTTTTCCTGTTTTAACCGACGACGCCGCGGGATCTGCTTTCGCATTGCTTCCGCGGCGCCGCCATCGTTTATTGACGGTATCAAATTAATATATACATGGGAGGCAGACGGGACAGCTCCCCGACTTACCCCGTTCAAGCATTTTAAATTTTGCATTAACAATTAGGACTTCTTCCTGACCTTCTCGGGCCGACCGGAGTCCGCCGCCCTTGAATTCGCGTGCCTGTCATCCGATTGGCGAGCCGACCGGAGTTCACCGCTCTGGATGTTTCGTTCTCCATCAGGGCGGTCGCACGTTCCCCTGTGCCCTTAGCAGGGCCTGTTCCTCGCGTTCATCTTATTCCTTGGTCGACAGAATCGTCTCGACCATGCGGATGAACTCCATGCGGTTAGTTTCGAACTGTCTGATAATTCTCCTTCGGGCTTGGCCGTCTTCCGGCAAGTCATGTGACAGGGGACCACACAGGATTTCCTCAACGTCGCCCGCGTTCGGAGGTCGCCTCATATACCTATAGTTTTCAACTTTTATTAAATGTGTAATCCAAAATGATAAGATAACTAAAAAAATGTGGTTTTGTCCGGAGTCACCCTACGTGTCCTAAGTCATCCCATTTTACTGTAAATTTTTACTTTTGACCTAATTTGCTAGTATTTTTACGAATCCAAAAATAAAACACACAACACTGTAAAACAATTAGGTACATTCATAACTTTGCTTAAAATCTTAAAATATGTAACTAAAATGTAGTAAGTGTGTAGCCAGGTAGGTATTTATAATTTACAATTTTTCTAGTGGACACCCAGTAAGCTGAATCTATGCTACAATGTAGTATAGAGACATACCATAAAAAGTAATTATGGTTATTACTTCTTAATTTTTTCTTAACATGGTCATAATTTAGAAAAACCACCTTCTCATTCCATATCACCCCTTTTATCATTCCCCGTTGCTCCCAAGGCATATTTAACACTGTGGTGTGGTACAACTGTACAAGTGCTTTTGGGTTTAAAATGTATTACAGGTTAGGTCTAGGTCTCGATCTCTAGGATGAGTGTGTAGGGCTTAAGAGAATTATATTAAATATTATTTTACTGATGAACTAATGTAGAACCAAATTTAGAAACATTTTTACAAGAACATAAATGATAGACCTTACTAAACTATCACAAATCAATTGTTGTTTTAATTAACCATATAAAGTAAATGGTACATATTTTGTTATTTTTTTAGGTGATCTTACAATTGGTAGTAATATCAATTTTTGGATCAATATGGTATTCTCATCCTAATCACGAACTGACCTTATCACTATTTATGCTTAGCCTGCAGTATGCTTTGGTAATACATTTTTTGATTTTTTTTAAGTACTAAGCAATAAAAATAAATGATTAAATTAAGTTAAATATTCTAAAATAATATATGTCTGGCAATAGAGTATCAGATACATTTATAACAATGCTATATTATATGCAGTGTATGTTAAGTGTCTACTCTATGTTAATATTATTTGTAAGGTACATTTAAACATTTTTTCTTGTTGGTCATAAGTTCATAACTTCATAAGGAAATGTTTGAGTTTCAAATGAATGCACAATGCACATACTATTTTATTTTAAGATTGATAAAGGTTAAATATTTGTACATAATTGCTTTATAATTGTTATTTAAGTATCTATAGTAAGTTGGTAAATTATGTGTTTGTATAATAGCTGGTCTAACCTTGTTCCTAAATTCCAACAAAAATGTACAGTGAATTGTAATTAATTTGTATCAAGAACAATTTTTATTATGCATTGGCTATAATCAACATATTCTGTGTATTCTTAATATTGAAGTATAAAATAACTGTCTTTAATGAATCTTTGAAATACAATACATTTTAAACATTTAAAAATATAAATTATTATTTAATTTTTAAGGTTCAGGAAGTGCAATAACTTCAGTGTTAAGCCTTAGTGTCACTGCAAACCTTATAGGAAATGATACAGATTGTGGAGCTTTCATATACAGTTCAGTCACATTTTCTGATAAATTGATTAATGGTTTAGTCATCATTGGAATAGAATTCATGTAATAAGTTAAACAAATTGTATATTTTATTTTAAGCAAATGATAATCAATATACTATTTTTTTATTTTTTGTTTAGGAAATGCACGGATTTGGAAAAATGCTCTCATTATTACAGAGATGTTTTGGCGTTTAGCAGTGGGTCACTTGCACTAATTGGTTTATTAGTGTTTTTAACAATACCAAAAATACTTATAAAGGAAACAAAGAGATCATCATCTCATATAGTTATTTGAAATTAAACTGTACAAATGAAATATGTTCCTTTGCTATTTTAGGGTTTAAAAATATTTTAATTATTTTAGTAGTTTATAATAACGTATAATGTAAATACACCTAATATATTTTATTATATGTGAATATGTTAATTCTATATTTCTTACAAACACTTAAAAGATATTACAATTGTATTACACTAAGATATTGGAGTTTTTCTGGTAAATGGATATTCTTCTCTATCATGGTAAGGTTCATATGGATCATCTGGATAAAACCTCCTTTTTTTCCAATATTTTGTTGTCATTTTATCTAAAAGCGTAGACTGTTTGGCATTACAAAACACGTGTTGTCTCAATCTTCGTTTTCTAGCAGCTGGTTTTTTCCACAACTTCTTTTGTCGTCCACATTTAGTTCGAATCCATATACCCCTGAAAAATGTATACAATACAATAATATTAAACAAAAAAATATAATTTGGAAATAAGTAACCTCTTTTCAGCCTGTTTTAAATATTTATTTTAATGTAATTTATACTTTTATTAATTAAATACTTAATATTATAATAAAAAAATATTCCCTTTGTATAAAAAAATGACAAAATATAATTTAAACACGCATATCAGTGGACTACAAGGACAAAAAAGTAAATAGATTAGATGTATACATAATCATTAATAATGAAAGGCAAAATATTCAAAATATTATTATATAATATAATAATATATTAATTTAAATTTCAAATGAAGTAAAAAATTTAACATGTTAAATATTTAAAGAATTACCATCCCAGGCGATAAAATCGATCAACAACTGTTTTAACAGTTTTCCTCTTCCCTTTTTGTAATGAAAACTTTGTTAGATTCCTCTTTTGTTGAAGATTGAAATCAAACCTAAAATAAGATACATTTGTTAATAAAAGTGAAATACAAGTATGGTAACATAATATTATTATTAATAGTTTAATTCTTGACAAAAATAAATACCTATATTACCTGTATTACCTATATTACATATAATACCTAAAATAATTAATTAAATAATCAGACATTCATTAACTTAAATTTCCATTTCCTGATTTAGCTAGATATTTGAATATGTCATAAATAAAAATTACGTACATTATATATTTATATAGTACTTACATTATACTAGATTGAGGAATAGGTGTATTCTTGTTCATAATTCCTTCCATTGATTTGAAATTGGAGGATAAAATGGACGAATAGAACCTATTTGTTTCAAAATTGTTAAAGTTCTTATTTAAAGAACCAAATAGATTAGACCCTGTAGTTTTATTTGAAACATTCTCTACATGTATACGAATAAGGCGAACACCTGAAAATATAAAAGATTATTAACTATAGATAGTTTGAAGATTAATGTTTGAATGTTATTGTACATCATTATAATATTAGTATAGGTGTGGTTTTGCTGTAGTGCCTGACCATAGAGCAGACTTTCTTAGATAAATATACACGGAACAAGTATAAATATCCAGTTTTTTATAAGAGAAAGAAGGAAGTAATTGAGGAACCTTATTATTTTTTTTTTTGGAGTTTAAGGGGAAAACCTTTTTTTGATTACTTTTCCTACTTATTGAAGCTATTATGAGCTCTTAGTTTTATGATTTTAGTTGTCATAAGTCTTAAACCATGATAATAAATTAAAATATAACTTATTGTCGTTCTAAGAATTTCTAAGACCAATAAAAATAATAATCAATAAAATAGTCATCATATCACACGTTAGGTCTTGACAAGAGAGATGAACAGACTTTATACTTTATACTTCAGTACCTACTTTTTAAATACTTAATTTCGGGACAATTCTAGTTTAGCTATCAAGTGACTTTTTTAAAAAAAAAATTAGAAGCACAAATACACCCGGCGTGGTTACTCACTCGCAGCACTTACATGGACAGTTAAAAATCGAAAACTTGCTATGTAACAGCACCTTGAGTAGGTCTCTGAGTTAAAACAAAATAATTAAAAGAATATATACAACTGGCAAAGATTACCATGAATTAGTCTGTAGCCTGTGTTACCCATTGTACCATGATACTTTAATACTTCAAAACTAAGTATGACCGAAAAATTCTGATGGCACTTTAATTTTTGTCATCAAAAACTACATTGGAATAAATAAAAAATATTTGAAATGGGATTTAAAATATAATTATGCTTTAAGTTCTTAAGAAGAACTTTGTTAAACGCATAACATAAACTTAAAAGGTATTTAGTTAAAACTTTAACTACATTTAAAGGTAAAATATCTGTAGGAAATTACTCTAAATTAAAATCTAATTTAGTAATTAGTATAGCCAAGTTATGATGAGTTGATACATTTGCAGTACCTGATTACATCTAAAAATAATGTAAGGTGTTCATCTAAAATTATTGCGAACATTTGTTAATCACTTGAGAGCTAAACTAGAATTGTTCCGAAATTAAATATTTGAAAACTACTGAAACGTATAAAGTATGTTAATCTCTCTTGTCAGGACCTTATGTGTGATGTGATGACTGTTGTATTGATTAGTTTTTTTATTGGTCTTACAAAGTCTTAGAACATTTGTTTCATTTTAGTCTAAAATACTTTATACAGATATTAAAAGATTATGTTACTAACCTGATAAAATAGAACCACATGCTCGTCTAAACATTTTAGAAAGTTATTGCAATTGTCACTTGTAAACTAGTAATTATAATGCATACTTAAAAGTTAAAATTGTGATTTGTGACTGATAGATGGGCAGTTTAGTTATATCACGCTTTCATCTAAAGCCGTGGGGGATAATGATTTTCACAAATCATATTTGTTCAAAATTTTGGAAGAAAGCACCGAGTTACGTAGTTTATAGAAATTATCTTCTCAGTGTGGAAAATCACGACTAAGATATACAGGCGACACGAATGAATATGTGTTACAATTTTACAAAGGCGGAGTTCGGGGGATATTTCCTTAGCATTACTAGCCCGTCGTAGTATTATGAACTAGAATTGTATATGTAGTCCATAAGTATCCATAGACGTCGCGAGAATGCTAAAGAAAATATCCCCGAACACTGCTTGAAAACATTCGTAGTCAACCCCCCCCACCTCCACCTTCGGTCCAGTCCGTATACAGTCGGAAAAAGTTCTATTCCCCCTGAATGTATATAAAAAAGGAATCTGTTGATCATGATAACAATATCTAAGAATAACAAACAACAACAACTTATTTATTTATTATTAGTATATTACAAATTACAATTTATTATAATTTGTAACTTGTAACTTATAAACATAACAATTGTAGCTGTGGCCTGTGGGGCAAAGTAATGATTTAGCATAATATATTATAGTGCGCATAAAATTGAACCTGTATGCCCTTCTTTTGTCTTTGTTTCTCGAACTCCTCATTAGTGACATTAGTAATTTTTACGTCACAATAGCACTACATAATATAATCGATGATTGTATTTCCTATAAATACTCTGTACTTCGTCGAACATTAATTTATTATTCCACAATATTGAATGTTCTGTTGTGTGATCGCACTAATAGATTTCATAGGTATTGTGTTTATTTAAAGAAAAAAATTAATATGACGTCCAAAATGGTTCTTGTTCAGTTAATTTTTCTAGTAATATTCACTCCGCAATTTTACAATAATGTGGAATGCATATCGTTCTTCCATTTTACCCAGGATCCACCACCAGTCAAGGACATAGCATTAATGTCCAGATATATCGTTCATCATTCAGGTAATATCACAGAATAGATTTATACTTTAATACTTCAAAGTTACTTTGCACTTTTATCAGGAAATTGGTTTTAAAAATATCCAAGTACCTATTAAATATACCTACGTAGTATTTTATTAAAAAACGTCTACCTATTTAAAAAATTGTTATTTTTGGCTACTTGGTTGAATTAGGTATTTATATTATTTAAGAAAAATAAAATGTTCTGTGCACATGCAAATGATTTTAACATAATTGCGTTTAATATTTTATGTTAAGAGGATGTCAGCATACTGTTTGTTCTATCTCTGGCCCACGTGCAACATAGACAAAAAGCATTTACTCAGAATAATATTTTTTATGTTTTTGAGTAATCTTAAATTAAAATCACCCATAACAAAAACAATAGAGAATAATATTTGTAAGGGTATAACATATCGATTTGTCTAAATATTGTCTCAAAACAATTTAAGCATTATTTAAATATACACCATTTTTTTTATTTTAAAAGTCGAATACAAAATCAAATAACTATAAAATATAATATAACCTATAAGTCATACAATCAAAAATATAATCTTCTATAATTTTTGTAAAAGGTTATTTTAGTCTAAAATTACTCAAAAACTTACAAAATGGCCTGCACATGGGACAGAGAGAGGAAACAAACAATGATCTGACATTCCCCTAATATAAGTACCATACAAATATATTAGAATATTTTGAAGTGCGTAATACCTATATTTATCAGTGTTTTGCAAGTTCCTTATAAAAAGGAATTTGTTCCATTCCTCGTTCTCTTTTTTAAGAAAGGAATTCATTCCTTGTTTCTTAAAAAAAGGATTTGTTCCATTGTCTTTTCTTTTGGAAATGAACGACTTCCCTTTTTCTTATTTAATCATTAATATTTTTTTTTCATATGCATATGTACTTTAATTTTTAATTATAATATATACATACAAGTAGGTACCTACATATTTTATAATTGTAGTTTGAGATTTTCTTCAAAATTAATTCATTTGCCAACGTATGTCGCCTGTCTTATTGTTTATTGTTATTTTAATAATCATATTTTATATAGGTACTCATTTCTATATAAATTATAACTTATAACTTTAAGAAATATTAATTAGGTGACTAATGACTAATGAGTAACGATTAATGTCGATACTCGACAACGATCACTAATTGGCAATAACATTAAAAAAAAATATATCTTAATTTCAATTATTTATATATCTATGTAAATTATTGGAACTAGAAAGGAACGAAAAATTTTGTTAATTTCCTCGAAAAAAAAAGAACTTGTTCATTTTCTCATTCTCTTTTTATCAAAAGGAATTCGTTCAACATGCCGTTCTTTGTAAAGGAATTATTCGTTCCAGGAATTTGTTCCAGGAATCCGTTTCTTTTGGAACTTGTTCCTTCCAAACATATTTATGTTGTAAAAAAAAATTTTTTAAGACATTTTGTTCATTTATCTAAGTATTTATTGATGTTCTATTTATTTTTAAATGTCTTTATATGTCTTTATTTAGAATGGGCAACACTATCTTATATCGGAAACCAGTCATTTATGGATGGTATGCCAATGGGTAGGGTGTATTCTGTTAGTGATGGAACAATCAATAATAGTTACGGTATTCCCTACATTATGGCTTCACCAATGGACTTATCATTTCAAGATGTTGTGGTAAATATTATAATTTACTATATAATATCATGTCTAAAGTGATATTGATACATATTCCATTTGAAAAAATGAATAAGTTAGTTGGTAGATTTTAGTAAATTTCATCACACAATGAAAGCAAATTTTGAGCACGCTGGTATTGATATTGGTTATTCTTTATTTTTTAGAAAACAAAAAACTGTTCTCTTGTATTGAGTTTGGCACAGTCTGATTATTGCAATAAAAAATCTTATGACCCTGAAGATCCACGATGTGCACAGCTTACATTGACTGGAAAGTTTGTTAAGGTACCTTAGAACATATAATGTTTTTCTGAAATTTTAATAATTCAATAATAAATACATACATGTTATGTGTTATAATATTCCTTAAATTATATTTTTTAAATTCATTGTAGTTGGATAAAACTGATCCTGAATGGAATGTAGCAAAAACAGCTTTATGGACCAGACATCCTGTCATGCGTAAATGGAACATTCTTGTGCCAGGTAAATTATTTCTTTGAGATATACTTTTAATTGATAAAAATAAACTTTGTTATTTTATGGTTTTAGGTCACAAATGGCAATTTGCAAAAATAAATATTGAACATATTACACTCATTGATACATTTGGGGGTCGTAAATATCCAACTATTGCAGAATATTTCAAAGCAACTCCGACTTTCAAATATTGGCCCAAATTAAGACACTCAGTTATTACAGTTAAAGAAAATGTCATTATTGATGAAGAATTTTAAAATTGTGCAAGTGCTCATTTTTAAACTAATTTTATGAATATTATATTGAAAATTGTCAATTATAACTTATAGACTGACTTGTGGTATAAATGTATCTTTTTGTGTTATATATTTTAAAGAAATTTATTTAGGTTACATCTTTATCATAAACATAATTTTATATAACTGGTAGGTTATGTAATACTGCCTAAGACATAGTAAATATTTATATTTCCTACTCAATAAAATAAAATAAGGTGTATAGTATTATGAATATCAGAATATATATGTATTGAGTTAAATGTATTAAATATATATGTATCTGGTTTATAAATCATAAATTGATGGTAAACCGTTTATTGTTAAGAGATAATTACAGATATTTAAAACTTGAAAAAAATTATGTTAAAAAAATAGAATACCTAAGTAAATCTTGTATATACTTTATGAATAGATACTTGATAAACTATTTAAATCTCAAACGTGTTGTTTGGAAAAAAGTAATCTCAAAATGTTATACCAGTTAAGATATTAACCTAATAAAAAAACTAACATTAATTAAACTTTTTGTCAAGTTTAATGTATTTCAAAAAAAGTAAATATTTCAAGATCAAAAAAGGGTTGAGTACTGAAAACTTTTCTTTATTGTTGAGAAAAATTAACAAAAATTATAGAATCGAGTTTCCGTTTTTTTTTTAAATAATAGCAGGAATGTTTGCCATGTAGCAAGCAGTTCATAGAAAATGAGGAATTTTTTTTCAACTAAAATTTTAACCACTTAATAAGAAAATATTTTATATGTAGGTATAGTACCTACTCTTCTATGGACTATAGACAGTTTAAATAATAAAGTTTAAAAATTACCCTTTACAATTATTTTTTCATTTGTTTTTTTGTTGTATGAAAGGGAGTAACTTTGAAGTCTTTTTGAGGTAAGGAACAAGTTATGTTACCGTAAATAGGGGGGAGGGGCAAATGTACCCTGTTGCCCAGGGCAGCAAATTTATATTGACATATAATTATTGTGTATTAATTGTATCAAAAATATATAATAAACATTTTATAGTATAAGACAAGCAGATTTTGAAGAAATTATCACTTTATTTTCAAATCTCCAATCTAGGAGAATGTTATAAATGTATATGTATCTAGATCATTATAATTCATAAAATTAAGATCAGTAGAAATGCAATCAAAATAAATAATAATTTTTTTTCAGTTTTTATTTAATTTTTATAATATGAATATAAACCATAACTACCTACTCGATAGGATACCATAGATTATTTCAATATAATATGAACAATAATTTCTTTTTAAAATAAGAAAAAAAAATAAATGTTTATAAAGAAATCATTGTATTAATTTTTGTTTTAAATATACTTTTTTATAAAAATTATAATATGTTTATTTAACATTGGTTTTCCTATAGATTTAAGAGATAACTAATGGATGAAACAATGAAATACCTGTTGAAACAAATGCAGTTTAGCACCAAAGCGATTTTTATGAATTTTTTTCATCAAAATTTGTGTTTTTGCATGCTTTATATCAGGGGTCTCCAAACTACGGCCCGCGAACAAGTTTTAACCGGCCTGTGGCCCGCATAGGTAAATATAGATAAAAAAATTATTTCAAAAATGTATTTATATTTTATATTATATTATAATATTTATACCTATTTATTTGTATTTAAATATATTGTAAAGTAAACAATATTGTATACAAAAATATAAAGTAAACATAATATTTATATAGGTAGGTACCTATATTATCATAAAGTTAAAAATTATATGTGTTAATAAACTTTTGGCCCGCTAAGAGCATTTGATTTTTTTTGTGGCCCTTGAATAAAAAGTTTGAAGACCCTTGCTTTATATGATGATACTTTAATAAAGAGTCGGTTAAATCTTCTTCGGTAATTATGGTTAAAAAAACTTCAAAATCTTGTTATACAAAGTTAAAAATACCAAAAATAACATTTTTGATTTTTTTTTTTTTATAAATGTGAATTTCTTCATGCTTAATATTTTTGTGGAATCAGAAATTACCTATTATATACTTATTTTATATTTTATTATTAATAAAGTAATTTAATAAAAAAAAAGGGTGGGTAAGTGAATGTCGCTCTGATTTACAGTAGGTTACAAGTGGGTCATAGGTATTAAATTTGAATTCAAGGATATAATAATAATATCATTATATATTAAAAACGATTATGAGATGTGACGGTTTCGGTTTGTCAGTGTAGATAATATATTATATTATATTTATATTGTTATTAGGTACCTACTTGGCTACTTATTAATATGGTAGCCGGTAAGTTGAATTAATATTATAAAATTACAACAAAATAACTAAAATTGTGATTCTTGGTTATTTTATACGTAATTCCCTCCAAATTTGAACATAAAATAACAATAAAAAAAACCACATTTTTATATTTTTGAGATTTTTTGGTTACAGAATAACCTACTGGGTCCTTGTTGTAAGTGTAAATGTGTAATCCTTAGCTTCAAAATTTGAACAATTTATAAATTTTAACTACAATATCATTTTTAAATTTTAAATTTGATAAATGTTTGAGGGTATCCACACTAGTGGGTCTCCCTCCTCACGCCATTTCATGTTTTGTACCTTAGCTATCAAATTTACTTATTGTATTGTATATAAATATTACAGATTGTAAATACCTATTCTATTTTTATTTAATAAAAAAAAAAAAAAAATTGATAAAATATGTTGTCAACAATTTTAAATGCGTATAAAAAAGCGGGTAAGTGGATATCGCTCTGTTGTACAGTAGGTTACAAGTGGGTCATTTATTAAATTTGAATTCAATGATATAATATCATTGTATAAGAAAAACTATTCTCAGCGGAGACGGTATGTCAGTCTAGGTATAAGACATATTATATAGTATATACTTATCTATGGTATTAAAAAAAAATTTGACCTATAATAAATTCCAAATTAATCATATCACAATATCCATTAGGTACTTATAACGCGTTATACATCAACACAGACTTCTATACTACACTAGATAAGGAACTCTTATACAATTGACATTGTTACAAGTGAAGCTCAGCTGTGAACGGCCGCCATTTTGTCGGTTAGCAAAACATTTCATTTATTATACAAAATGTATTAGGAATAATATTTTTTTTAACGGTCAAATAAAATAGTAAATGTAAAATGACTTATATAAAATATTTTTTTTTTTTGTAAACTAAATGTTTAAAAATAATAAAATACGATATAAAATAAATCATAATATCATCTTATTTGTCATATGAAATACCATACAATTGCCAACCGACCTTGAGGCTTCAATTCATGATCGGAGTTCGCTATCTAGTAATATATAGAAATCTGTGTACATCAACAACAAACCCTGATACTATCATAGATATATAATAGTGTACTTTAGAAATTTCAAGTACCCACCAATAATATTATACAATCACAAGGAAATGACTAAAATAGTTATTCTAGGTTTTTATGTAATTAAATCCAAATTTGAACTTAAAATGACTATAAAAATAAACTGTGTTTATGTATTTTTTAGATTTTTTGGTAACAGAATTAACTACTTACGTGGAATCTTGTTTTAAATTTTCAATCCTTACATATAAATTTGAACATTTTATAAATTTTTAACTACAAAATAATTATTCAATTTTAAATTTGATAAATGTTGTCAAAATTCGATCTTTAAATACTTCTAAAAAAAAATTGTGCCTATGTATTTTTAATATTTTTCTACTGATATTGTAACAATATATCAGGAGCTTTGTATTACATTTTTACACTTTTTGGCCCAAACGAAAAAACTTTATTGATATTTATAGAAAAAAAACACTAAAATAATTGAAAACTGAAAATGTCCGTAAACAGCTAAAAAAGAGTCAAAATATTTTCAAAATTGTATGGTGTATAGCCGTATAGGCAGGGTTGGGCAAGATACTCAAAAAAAAGTATCATGATACATGATACATGATACATACATTTTGTGTATCAAGATACAAGATACAAGATACATTGTGAATGTAGAAAAGATACAAGATACAAGATACATGTATCTTTGATACATCAAAGATACATGATACTTTTATATTTCCAATCAAATTTTATTAATTATTAAACGTAAAACGTCTATACACAATTCACTATACCGTCTATACATAATAAATACATAATATTATTATTATACCTACATAATAATAGTATTTATAAATACTTATAAAGTCATAATTATATCAAATAATATAATAAGTCAATAGGTACACTGTACAGTGTACACATTATAATATAATAAGTCAATAGGTACACATTATACATTTATAACTAATACATCACATTTATAATATAAATACACCAAAATTAAGAAAGTGCATAACAATTACATCTTAATTTATACTTATATATAGTTGCTTTATGTGTATAATAAAATTGGTTATGGTCTATGGACTTATGGTCAAAAATAAATAAATAAATGAAATTTTTTATGGTCTTATGGACTTAATAGTTAATATTTATGCAAGTTATGGTTAGTTTAAATTAATAGAATGGAACAAGTTGTAAGCAATTACAGAATACTATTCACGTTGTTGTACCGTACAACAACGTGAATAGTATTCTGTAATTGCTTATCTTTACTTTTGATTTTATTTTCTATTTTATGTGGAAATACCTAAACGGTTACACTCATATCTAGGCAGCGGATTCATATTTTATGAGACTATTGATTATTGACACGGTCTGCGTGTGGGCTACGGTCATATCATACTTTTATGTTTATCAGATTATCTTAAATTTATAAGATTGTGTGGTACATTTTTTCGCTATCGTTAATATTTCGGCTGGATTGCACCTGGACAATATTTTTCGTACAAATACAATCCGCGACGAAATTATTTTTACAATAACAGTATCTTGTATCTTTTGGCAAAAAAGATACATGATACTAGTATAAAATGTATCAAGATACATTATACTTGATACTGTAAAATTATGTA